CACGTTGTCGCTGTCTCTTTCTTTCACTATCCTGTAACTATCTCTAATTTTTATCTATCTATCTATCTATCTATCTATCTATCTATCTATCTATCTATCTATGTGGGCGTCTCTGTGTCGCCCCATCTCTCTCTCTCTCTCTCTCTCTCTCTCTATCTATCTATCTATCTGCGCATCATCGTGTAGCTCTCTCTATCCCTCTCTCACTATATCAATCTATCTATCTGCCTATCTAGCTATCTGGTCGACAGTGTGTCACTCTCTCTCCATTTTCATTTCTCTTCATCACTCTATATCTATCTGTTTAACTGTATGCTTATATGATTAATATCGTCATTTCTGGCCATTTCTTATCTATCTATCTATCTATCTATCTATCTATCTATCTATCTGGATGGCGCCCTCTCTTTCTTTCGCTATATCTATCATTTTCTCTATCTATCTGGACGACAATGTGTCACTCACTCTTTCTCTTTCTATATCTACTTATCTACCTATTGTGTGCCTATATGTTTGTCTATCGATATTTCTGGTCGCTTTCTATCTATCTATCTATCTATCTATCTATCTATCTATCTATCTATCTATCTATCTATCTCTGAGGGCAACACTATGACTCGCTTTCTCCATTTTATTCTATCTTTACGGTAAAAAAAATGTTTTCTATAATCGGATAAATCACGAATTACCCATGAACATATATATGTAATATCTTTTGTCCGCTTAGCTTGTAATGAAAGTGAATAATAAAAAAAAACCCTCAGAAATAACTTTTTTCAATGCTTCGTTTGCTTTCCTTCTGATAGGGGACCAACTAAAAAAGGTAATAACATATCCTTTTCTATAGAGAAAATAAGGAACTCAAAGGTACAAAATACACTCGTTCTTTCGTTTCAGCGGCACCTTGTTAGCAAAAAAAAAATCGTTTCATATCAATTACCTTGTTTTATATTTTTCTTGTTAGATTCACCCAATATTGAGATATTTTGGGTCTGGTCGACGTGTCTTTCATTAAGCAAATAATGGAAGGCATTTTAAAGTCTGAGCACGGGTTGACAAAATTTCTTATTCTATTACAAAAATGGTCAGTTGTCTATCTATTTATCTATATATTTATCTATCTGCAACATTTTTTCATTTACTTTCTTTCTTTCTTTCTTTCTTTATCAGTTAATTATCTATCTATCTATCTATCTATCTATCTATCTATCTATCTATCTGCAACGTTTTTCATTTACTCTCTTTCTTTCTTTCCTTCTTTATCAGTTGATTATCTCTCTATCTGTAATATTTTGTTCATTTTCTTTCTTTTTTCTTTCTTTCTTTCTTTTTTCTTTCTTTCTTTTTTCTTTCTTTCTTTTTTTCTTTCTGTAGCAGTTCATTATCTATCTATGTATCTATCTATCAGAGTTTGTTCAATTTCTTTCTTTCTTATCTATCTATCTATCTATCTATCTATCTATCTATCTATCTATCTATCTATCTATCACAATTTGTTCATTTTCTATCTATCTATCTATCTATCTATCTATCTGTCTATCTATCTATTATTTCATTTCATATATAAGTAATGGTCAATATACTTGTATTATTTCGAACTATTGTTATCATCTTTGTTGATATATACGGAACGGTGGCGTAGTGGACATAGGTGTTGAGTGTTCATGTGTTATTGTCATCTAGAGATCAATCTCTGTAGCAGGCATTTAAGCACCGGTTCAAGAGGGACGACCAATAAACTCAATTATCAACAGATATCTCATATCAACAAAACAGCGACATATATCACAATTAATCAATATACATCAACAAATCAATAACCGCCTGATGATGACCAAAAGATACTTGCTCGAATCACTGTGTCAGTATCAAGCAAGATGAGGACATTACTTCGGAATAATATAAGTATATCTATCTATATATCTCTATTATATAAAAAATGCTACTTTTTTAACTCGTTACATCTGTTCATATAATTCTCAGTCTTTTCGTATCTATCTATTCTCCACATATATATATATATATATATATTATATAAAAGACAGACCACAATAAGATTCCATTAGATTCCAAATAAGCTTTTCATTTCAGCTTTTGGAAGTAAAGTCTGATGATCCAGAACCCTGTTAAAGGGGTTATGGTGAAATAGTTTATTACATGGAATCTTAACGTGGTCTGTCTTTTTATTCAAACATATCTGCTCTGAATTTCACATTGAGCTCTCTGGATATCATCCTCCTCAGGTCTACCCATACGGATTTCCTAAGTTTACATAAACTATAACTATAATATATATATATATATATATATATATATATATATATATATATATATATATATATATATATATATATATGTGTGTGTGTGTGTGTGTGTGTGTGTGTATACTTGTTCTTTATTCCCATATAGAGCATGTGTGCTTATATTTACTACAGCTTTAAAAGGAGAATTTTAAAATTATATACTTACATAATGTAGACATTAGAGGAGGAAACACTTA